ACTGCCCAGACTGCCCAGCCCGAGAGCAGTATGTTTGAGGAAGATGATGGTGACGATGATGGTGATGATGACGGCGATGCTGACAGCAACCTGGTACGGGTCCGGGTTGGGGGGAGAAACGGCATCCTCAGGGCACCTCCCGTGGTGGGGGGGAGAGCATCTTGTCCCCAGGGGGAGGGATGGAGAGGGGTCCCCGGTCCCTTGGGCTGTGACACCGGCGCCTGGTCCCCTCCATCCCCCCCCCCCAGGCAGAGCCCTGGATCTTCAAGAAGTGGTTTGGCCGCTCAGCACCGGAGGACGGGGACAAAGAGCCCGCGGATGTCCCTGAGGTGTCGCCAGCTGTAGCGGAGGTGAAGAAGAGCCGGGAGAAGAAGCCAGAGAAGAAGGAGGAGAAGGCCCGGGAGGGCCGTGCCACCCAGGCAGAGCGGAGCAGCCAGAGGGAGGCACGAGCCAAGGACAGGGCGCCGGGGGACAAGCCCAGCAGAGCTCCCAGGGTCCCTCGGGAGCCAGAGCAGCAGCAGAAGAAGCGGGGCCGGGAGGGGAAGGAGAGCCGGAGGGAGCGGGACGAGCCCAGGAAGGAGGGGTGGAAGGGCCGTCCCGGCAGGGCCGACAGCGGCAGGGAGAGCCCGAAGCGGGACTGGCGGCAGCAGAAGGGCAGGAAGCCCTGGGAGCCGGCGGCCGCCCCGGGGAAGGACGGCACCGCCAGGCCTAGGGAGGGCAAGAGGCGCGACTGAGGCTGGGGCGACCGAGGGGCTCGATGATGCTGAATCCAGGGGGGTCCAACCCCACCACCACCCCCGGCAAGGACACCCTGCCACTCCCTGCCTGCTCTCCAGAGACATCCCCGGGCCGGTGGCATGGGCAGCGCAGGCAGCGCTCCAGGATCTCCGAGCAGCAGCAGAGTAGCCCAGGAGCCTGGCACAAGACCCCCTGGGGACTTTGGGCCCCCCTGGATTAGATGCACAAAGGCAACCCGAAAGGACCAGGGGAAGGAGCTTCTCTTCATCTGGACTTCGCACTATTTCTCCATCCCCACCCAAAATCTCTCTTGCAGTTCATTTTCACTCGTGGTCCCTGAGGCATCGGGGCGGCGCAGTGGGCACAGGGATCCCAGTGAACAGAGTTTGTCTCCAGACTGTGTAGCCCTTGAATTCAGTTAATGGTTTTATTTAAAGCAAATCAAGAGAGAAGTGTATTCTGCGTTAATGAAGCCAGGCTGCTGCCGTCCTCAGAGGGTCATTAGGGGAATGACCACCGCGACCTCGCCGGGCCCCGGTGTCATCGCTGCAGGGTGGTGCGAAGCTTGCTGGTAACAAAACAGGGCTGGAGAGCCCATCACCCGGGGGTCCCTTCGGGCCTTGCCTTCACAGAGTCGCTTTTAGGAACGAAACACAAGTGCAATATCACGCAGCGCTGTAGCAACTACAGGAGACGTTCACAGCCCCAACCCACGGCAGGTTTAAGTATTTGCTAAATCAATAGAGGTTAAAATAAACTATTTTCATTTTTAATAAGGTATTAAACTGAATGTTTTAAAAAAAAAAAAAAAAGTTGTTGTCCCTGGTTATGTTTGTGTGTTCTCTGTGCCTCCCCATCCCCGGTGCACAGGGGCTCATGGCTAACCCGGGTCCCCACGTGGGCTGGGGACCGGGGCCGGTGCGTGCCAGCCTCCGGCTGTGCCCCCACCAGCCCTGTGGGGATGCTGCAAAGCCCAAGGGCTGGTCCCAGCACCGGGGGTCTGCAGCCAGGATGAGCCCAGGAGCTGCTTTCCAGGGGTTCGGACCCTGCGGCAGCCCGGGTGGGTCTCGCTGAGGGCCGGGCTTAGCTGGGAAGATGATCTGGGGCCGGCCGGGCTCTCTGTGCCGACACCAGCGGGGATGCGGAGCAGGTGCTTTGGCAGCAGTTTGCGCCCACTCCTATTAATGGTGTGAGCAGCCCAGGAGGTGTAACAGGATCGCTCCCCTCTCTCAGCCCTCCCTCCTCTCACCCCCCGGCTCTGGCAGCGTCCCGGGAGCGGGGTCAGCATGGGGCGATGCAGACGTGACCTGGCAGGGAGCCCCAAGCCACTGCCAGCGGCTCTCCATGGCCCCTGGCTCACACAGGGACGGGTCCCCAGATAAAGGCTGGTCCCTGCGAGGGGATTTTGCCTCTTGTTCTGCTTTCGCGGGTGGAGGCGTGTGGCCGACGGGGGCTTAGCGACGGGCCGCGGGCTGGGAAACGGCCAGAGAATGCGGGGGGGGCCTGGAGGAAGCAACAACTGCCCTGCCCAGCCACTACAGGAACAGAAGGCAAGGGTTAAATAAGCGTGGTCCTGGCCAGATCTGCCAAGCCCTGCCCTCCCACAATGACCCCGCAGGGCCCATATCCAGCCCAAACCCTGTCGCGGGGTCAGAGCCATGCTGCAGCACGGTCCCACGGGCACCTCGGGCATCCCTGGCATCGGGAGTGGGCGCAGGAAAACGCCGGGCTGCAGAGCAGCCCCCAGGGACCGGCACAGCTACAGACAAACCCAGAACCAGAGCGACACTAATGAGCCAAACCGTGGGGAAAGGACACGTGGGGAGCTCCCGTCTCAGAGAGAAGCACAAGCTCCCGAGCTGCGAGGGCAAACTCGGGGGGGAGAGTGGGACGAGGGCGAGCGGGGAGGCGGGCGGGAGCCTCTACCGACAGCCGCATTCTTCTGCCACCATGTTGGGGAACTTGCGGACCTCCAGCCCCTCCGTGGAGAGGCTGATGATGAGCTGGTCCGAGTAGCGGACGGGCACGCAGCAGGGAGCCCGCTGGAGGGGCGAGCCCCGCTCCTGCATGCCCAGCAGCAGCACCGTGTGCGAGTAGTAGCTGGGGACACGGGTGGAGAGGGGCAGCTTGCAGGGACCCTCGCAGTTGTTGGCCGTGTAGACGGTGGGCATGACGATGAACTTGCGGTCGTGCAGGTCGATGGTCAGCTCCTGCAGGCGGCAGTGGGCCTGGTGCCGCGCGCTGCGGTTCTGCCGCAGCACCTTCCGCCGCTCCTGCCAACGCGCCCGCACCGTCTGCAACGCCTTCAGCAGCAGCAGCGCGTGCAGCTTCCCGGAGCCGGGTGGCCGCTTGCCAGCTTGACCCTCACCTGGCCCCGGCGGGTAGTAGCAGAAGCTCAGGAGGTGCTGGAAAAGTCCCATGTTGGCTTGGAAAGCCGGGATATCCTTCAGCTCCTGGATCACCGCCTGCAGCTTGCCCATCAGCAGCTGCAGCACAGTCCCCTCGGGCTGCCAGCCCCCCAAGTACTGCTCCAGCACGGCTCTGCTGTCCTGGGGGAAGAGCAGCACGGACGGCTCCTCTGACTGCACCAGTCGCTCCAACGCTGCCTCCTCCGACAGGTTGAGAAGCTGGTGAGGGAGGGTCTCCATCATCTGGAAGTCCAGCCAGTGATGGGAGCTGGGCTGGGTGGGCAGCTCGCTGGAGGGGCTCAGGACCTGGCGGATGAACTGGGTCAGGATGCCCAGGAACTGGTTGCTGCTGCCGGGCGCTGGGGATGAAGCATTGGCTTGGCTTGGGGCAGTGGGGGACGGCAGCTCCTCAGTTCCGGCCTGGGGTGGGCTGTGAGGAGAACACAGGGAGGGTCACGGGGACCTCTTGTACCCCAGGGGTCCCACCAGCGTCTGCCCCACATCCTCCCACCAGAGTCCCACAGCAGAAGGGCTGGGGCTGCCCCTTTCTTCCCCCAGCTCCCAGCCCCTGTGTTTTTCCATGGCTGCGGCAACGGCCACGGACCTGAGCTGTGGGTACGGAGCCACGTCCACCACCCCATCGGCAGAGAGGTAGGAAGAAGGGGCCAAAGCCACCTCCTCCTCCTCCTCCTGTGACTTGGCCAGCAGGAGCAGCACGGGGGTCATCCTGGTGAAGCACTTGTCATCGGAGCCGAAAAGGAGCTGCTGGGTCTCCGTGGGGGGCAAGAGGGCACCTGGTGGGGAGAGGAGCGGGTGAGGATGGTGGTCCGGGGTCTCCCACACGTCCCCACAGCCCCTCATTACAGACAGGCTTGAGAGGATCCCAAACGCCCGAGTCAGGACTCAGAGGGCACAGACATCACTGTCCCCCACCGCCACGGGCTTCCCACGTCCCTACCTCCCTTTCCGCGATGCCTGATCGCCAGGGAAGCCTCGAAGCTGAGCTGCTCGCTGGTGCGGGTGACGGATGCTACGGCAGCTCCCAGGAGCAGGTACTGGGTGTCCCTGGCGAGGCAGAGGCTCTGCACGGAGGCAAAAGACTCAGGAGCCCCGAGGACGTGGGTGAGACATCGCGGGGCGGGGGGCAGTCAAATGAGCCCCCCGCTGTGGTCCCTGCTGGCTCCGGGTCACCCAGCCCACGGTGGCCCAGGGAGCAGCGAAATGGGAGGGTCGGGACCACCGGGAGCAGAGCGGGCAGGGGGGCTTCGCCACCCAGCCCCAGAGCTGCTCCAGGAGCACGGGACCCCCGGGTGGGCAGAGGGCCCCGAGCGAGCCCGGCCCCAGACCCGCTCCTCCCGGCAGCGGTGCCGCGGCTGCTGCCCCCCGGCCAGGCTGGCGAGCCCTGGGGCAGGAGGGGAGCCAGGACCCCCAGAACGGGCTGCGTACCCCGGGCCGTCCCTCTGGCCTTGCCGGGAGCTGGGGACAGGGTAACAGCACCATCTTCAGGCACGGCTCGGCCCCGGCGGGAGGGTGCGACAGGGCAGGGGTGCCGGGGGGGGTGGCAAAGGTGCTGGGAGAGGATGGAAAAGGTGCTGGGAGAGGGTGGAAAAGGTGCTGGGAGAGGGTGGCGAGGGGCTGGGAGGGGATGGAAAAGGTGCTGAGCCAGCAGAGCTGAGACACCCCCTTCCCACCTTCCCTGCTCGCACCCAGGACCGGACCCCCCCGGCCGTGGCCACCCACCTGCTCCCGCACCAGCCCCGTGCCGGTGGCCAGCAGCTCCTCTCGGCGCCCGGCGCCCGGCCCCTCTCGGCTGCCCAGGTAGAAGAGCAGCAAGGCGAACCGCAGCTCTCCCAGCGACCGGCCCACCTCTGCCTGGAAAACCAGCTTGAACCGCAGCTTCACCTGGGCTTCCCACTTCACTGGAAAGGAGATGACAGAGGGGGTGAATCGCCCCTCCGGCGGCTGCGGGGCTCCTGGGAGGGGGGGTGATGGGTGAGGAAGGGGCTTTGGGGCCGAGCACCGGCCCCACGCGGCGGCCAGAGCATCTGGGATGGGAGCCAACAGGGTGGAGGGACACGGCAAATCCCTTTCCCCAGTTTCAGGGAGGTGGTCAGCAGGGCAAACCCTGCAGCCCCGGCGAGCAGGGGGCTGCCGCGCTCCCAGAGCGGCTCTGGCAAATTTTCATGGGCAGATCCCCATGGAAATCTCTTCTCCCACGGCAGCTCCTCCCGTGGCTCAGGGACATTGTGGCCGTTGCATCGCAACCAGCAGCACTGCCTGGGGAAGAGCCGCTTCCCCAGCTGCCCGGCACCATCGAGTTCAGCTGAAAATCCAAAATCCAGGAGAAGAGGAAGAGATTTCAAGACGAGAGGAACAACCGTGACCCACTTGCTACACAGGATTAAAACAGAGGGTTCAGCCAGGGTGCCCTCCCTCAAGCGCAGCACTTGCTGCTGCGATGGGACAGAGGGATGCACGCTGCTGGGTTTTCATGTAAGGCTGAAGCTACGCAAGCAAGCCCAGGACCCAGGGCTCCTCAGCAACACCGAGCATGAGATCGGCATGTGCTGCAGCCGGCTGCGAGCAGCCGGGCTCACGCCACAGCAGGACCAGCCAGGTCCGCTCGTCTGACCCTCTCCTCTCTTTTCCCAATCAGACAGAGTTGGGACGGGGTCCTAACCCATGTTATTAAGGCGGAAAGTGAGAAACACTCGTAATCTCGAAAGCAGAGCAAAAGCCACCGAGACTGTGGCACCTGGGCGTTAGTCACAGGCAGGGACAAGGCACCCTGTTGCACACAAGCTATCATCACTACTAAAGCTTCTTAAAAATGTACCCAGAAAGACATTTTACTGTATCGCTTCGCTAATTTTAAAAGGAACACAACCCTACAAATTTAATTCTGTGTTTAAATCTCTGATTTAGGCAAGCAAACAGCATCGGCCTCCCCGAGCCCTGTGCTTGCCCCGCTCTGCTCAGTCTCGGCGCAGGGATTTCACACCAACCTTCCTCCAGATGCAGCACGAGGAAGCGGTCCTGCCCCGGCTCCACCACGTGCGCATGGATGTGCTTCAGGGGATGGAGAGCAGCACCCGCCTCCCCGGCCGGGCAGAGCCCGAAGGTCTCGAGAAAGCTTTCGTCCCAGCTGGTGCGTTGTCTCAACAGCTTGATGAAGCTGCTTTCATAGTGGGTGAGAACACCCACAACTTCCAGGTGCCTCGGGGTCAGCCCGCCCCGGTCCATTTTCACCCTGCACACGGGCCCTTCCAGCCCCCCGAGCGGCCACGGGTGCAGGCTGGAGCTGGACCAGCCGATGGCCCCATCCTCAGCCATCCCCTGGAGGCATTTTGCTCCTGGGTCAGGCTTAGAGAAGAGGCGAGCAGCAGCAGT